AATTTTCTTTTGATTGATCGAGTAGTTTTAAATTGTTTTCCATTTGTTCGAATAGATTCTATGATATGAAATTTCTTCTCTTGAGAAGAAAGAACGAAAGAAACAGTTCATTTGATTCATTATTCAAGGCAGTGAAACTATTTAGATTCGTTTATGTTAATTTTGAACTATGTAATATATTCTTTTTTTTTCTTGAAAAGCTTTTTATTAGTCAAAAAAGGATGATTCTTTACAAAGATTTTCTCAAAAGATTGAAGATCTTGATAAAAAATCTTTGGTAATCAATTTTCAAGAAAAGAAAGCACTACATCACCTAATTTCGCATCAATTATTTAGATCCACTAGGAATCAGGACCCCCGCGATGTCGCGGGAGAAAGTACTTCAAAAATCGTTTAAAAAATATCAAACGAAAAGTCATAATGAATTGTAACAATTTAGATTTTTTTAGTAATAAATCAATAAATATTTTACGAAAATTATGATAATAAAAACTTTCACAAGCATTTATTAAGTATATTAGTATTAAAAAACATTAATTTGTAACTAAAAACTATTCTCAAGCAAAAGACATCATATAAACTAAAGGTTACAACGGTTTTGATAAATAAGCCAAAATATTCATTAGTTCTACTAATAAACCAAATGCTACTATGTTAAACTAAACGGTAGCAACAATTCATTTAAATATATTTTAGTAATTAAATTATTTTTTTAAATGATAAACTTTAACCGAAAGACGCGACTGTATATATCAAATATATCCAAAGTTGCAATGGTTCATCAAATACACTAAAGATTACAATGTTTCCTAGAACAAAACCAAATGTTGCAACAATTCAATTAAGTAGTAACATTTTAGTAATTTAAAATTAAAAATTAAAAATAATAATTTATGAAAAGTTACACCGACGGTAGATGATTAAAATGTTTTAAAAAAAACATTTACATCAGCATACGAATGTAACTACGAATGACTGGTGAATTATTTCATAGTTTACATCAGCATAGCAAAATGTTTAAATGAATGATATAATTAAGGAGGTTATACTACTAAATATATCCATATGTAAACTATGAAATAAAACCAATTTTATATGTAGTTTATTGGTTTACGTAAAAAGAAATTCAATAAAACAACATGACCGTACAAAAATAACTGTAAGAAAAACAACCATAAATATTTAAACGAAAGGTTGCAATAAAAAGACGCAACCGTTCATATGTGCAAATGGTATTTATTGGAAAAGACATAACCGTAAAAAAATAACCGATTAAAACGAAAATTGCGATAAAAAGACGCAACCAAAATAACCGTAAAAAAAATAACCGATTTAAACGAAAAGTTGCGATAAAAAGACGCAACCGTTCAGATGTGCAAATGGTATTTATTAGATTGCTATTATATATAGATTTATGCTAAGTTTGAACTATGTAATATTCTTTTTATTTTTCCTTCTAGAAAACTGCTTTTTAATTCAAAATATAATCGTTTACCATAGCTGAAAATTCAAAATAATCAATGTTCAAGAAAGCATTAGACCACCTAATTTTACAAAATTACACGGACAACATACATATGTTTTTTAGATCGTTTATACAAAGTCCAGACGTTTATCCACAAATATTTAGTATTTATAGACGAATTTTCTCTTCCCCCAAACCTATTTAGTATATATGAGTTGATCCAAACCGAATACAAAACAATTGATATGAAAATTGAACTATATATGGTTCACATGATTTTTTTTTCTATATACAGACCGAATTCAAATCTGAATTGAATCTGAAAAAAAAAACTAAAAACTAAACTAGATTGTATTAAAAATTAAAGATAATTTTGACTGAAATCCAAATCCAAACCAAAACCAAAACAAAAACCTTATCTATATTATTAATTGGGAAGCACTAAATATTAAATAACCTTATAAAAGATAAAATATTACAAAAAATGCCATTGGTTTTTAGTGTTTTTAAATAACTTCATTAAGGGTACAATAGTAATCACAAAATTAATATATTTAAATAAAAAAATAGTTTAATTCTTTTAAATAATTATTAATTTCTAAAAAAATAAACTAATTTTCTCCCTCTTATTAATTATAAACGAAAATTTGAAATTAATTTTTAAAAAATTGTTAACCAATAAGAATTGAAAAACTAAGATTTGATATCCAACTAAGATTTGATATCCAACTAAGATTTTATCTAAACCAATAAGAGACTATTCTATATCAAAAATAAAAAGAAAAATAATATCATTTTAATTCAAAATTAAAAACACTATCGTTTAAAAGATTTATCAATGGAGGACTTTAAGATTAAATTTAAAATTTCGTAAGAAAATTAAATACAATATTTTAAGATTCAGTTTTGTTATAATATTTTTACAAATTTTAAAATATAAAACAAAATTTTATTTCACAATTTCTAAAATACGATATTAGATATTAACAACTATTTATATTTATGATGAAATAAACTCAAATAATAATAACTTTAAAGTAATTATCATTATAGCCTTCGTTTAGAGCAAGTTTGATAAATATCTAACAATAGATTGTATATATTAATTTCAAAATTATTTTGCGTTTTATTTTTTGTTTTTCAACCGTATCTTTCTTAAATAAATCCCTAATATATTGCACACAGTTTTCAAATAATGTAAACTAATTATATATTTTGAATTCAAAACATATTATGCAGCAATAGCATATCCCTTTTCGAGATGTATCTCAAATTTTTATTTTTAGTACAAAAACCAAATTAATTATGATTAAACAATAAAAAGAAGAATATGCAAAATTTAGCTAAGAAAAGAAACATTAATAAATTTGTTAAAATATATTTGTAACTTTAGCAGCATATATATTAATCTGCAAAACTCACCGTATGTATTGTACGGTATTTAAAAGTAAGCAAACAAGAATTTGGAACATGATTTTAATGGAATGAAATGAGAATAGGAATTACGAGACGGGATGAGAGGGGAACATAAATTAAAAATCAAACTAAATACCCAATTGGTATGAGTTCAGGTTATGAGCACTATATAAAATAAATTTGTTTACATACATAACCCTGTACGTACATTTTCAATTACACATATTCTATTTATGCCGGATACTGGACCGTCATATTTTTATTTCACGTATACGAGACGGGTTATGGGACCAAGAATTTATGACAGATACAGGACGGGATAGGTTTCCCGTTCTAAAATAGATACCCCTAGCTAATATACATGAAATAACCAAACTCAAACCGAATCTATATCCTATTTAACACATGTAATCAAACTATTAGAAATATTTTGATTAGTTTAGAAAATAAAAAAGTAACATCATTTAACTTTTGCAACTAAATTATATCTTAGTTTTATCTTAAATATAATTTCGCACGTACGTGTCGGTCCGGATCTTAAAATATAACTATGCACTAACGCAACTGAATTTCGTTCATTACTCTAATTTTATAATATTTATACTATTATAAAGTTCACTAACCCAACAAAATATTTTATATTTTTAAAATCTATATAACAATTTCTATAAAAATATCTCTGCACGTACGTGTGAATCCAGATCTAATACACTAAAATATATATCATAGAAACAACGAAATAATCTATATTGAATTAAAATTTGTTAGAACTTTTTAAAAAAATATGAAACCCCGCACGTATGTGCGGGTCATGATCTAGTAAACCTTTTATTTTGAATACTCATAATCAACCAGAAATCAAAGAAACCACCGATTTGAAATATATAGTGCAGTTTGAATATGGGGTTGAGTTTTTTTTTTTTTTTAAATCACGTTATATATGTCTTCACTAAATGTTATATACTACTCCAAAGCTATTGTTTAAAGATCAATGATTTATGAATACCTATTGTTTAAAGAGAAGAAACTTTGGACATGTTCAAATAATTCTATAGATTAATTTTGAAGAACCTTTCCTAACTATATATATCCCATCATCAAAGATCAATAATTGACATGTAATTAATTTGTAGACAATGAAATATCGCAAAACGTTAAGATTACATCATGTCAACCAAAAAGTTCATTAAAAAAAAAAAGATAAATCAAGAATCAGTAACAAACAACCACGTGTTTTTGAGATGCTTTAGTTTTACACATACGTTACTATGTAGAATCTTTCTTCAACATCATAAATTAAAAACGCGTCTACGAGAAACGCACTTTCCACACGTTTACCGACTCATAACTAATTCTCTTTTTCAAGTCATCAGAATCTGATTCGATCATATCTTTCGTTGCGTTGATATGGATTGTTCTCTTCTTACGGACATAAACGATTCTTTCAAATCTTTTGTGTTTAGTTTCGCTCATCTTCTCTTGTTCCGTTTGAGCAATGTTTCATTATCTGACAAAAACTTATGGTAACGACGTTAAAGAACTAATACACCAAATTGGGAAAGAAGAATAAACCACACCACCTTTTTGAATCGGATACAAAACTTTGTCATGGAATCTACCAAAATGTTACAAACCAAATATCTCTATCAAAATCAAACCCAACAACCAGTCACTAACAAAATAACTCAAATTTTTTTTATGTTGATAGTTCCTATCTCAAGAGAAATGCCGACGTCTTTGATAGTGGACCTTCCACAATCAAATTGTTAACATGTCTTTCTTCAACATTATTATTGGCCATAATACATAATGTGCAACAATATAGCAGAATCTTAAATGTAATGAATCAATGAAATTTCCAATCATCACTTATCAAATATACACAAGACTATATATATTAATAAGTGATTATGAGAAAACTCAACTAATTTCTTGATATCCTTTCAAATATTCAGCATTTCAGCTAAATTACTCTCATTATGTTTATAATCACTAGACCGTGATTGGTCACTCCTAATCAATTAGCTAAAACAATTGCAAAATTCACAAAAAGTTGACAAAATATAAAGACAAATTCACCAAAAATAAATGAAATAAGAGGCTGTGATAGTTTTTCAAGTTGCTCAGTTAACCGCTCAGATCGACATTATAATCGCTGACTCATTAAGCATCAAAATAATGCTTTCTATAAATATTTTTTCTCATCATAGCAACACAAAAAAAAACAGACATAGAACTAAGCACAGTAACAGATCTTTGTCTTAAAACTAGATAAATAAAATGGTTGCTCAGCTAACCGCTCAGGTTCGACTATTTTTGTCGACCGTTCATTAAGTGTAAACACTTTCAATTTCATTATAAGATCTCATCATTGCAACCATAACTAAGTAAGAAAATTCACAAAATTCCTTGATTATTGAACACAGAACACAAGAGCAGGACTAATCTAACATTCCCTACAAGAGCAAGACAGAATCTGAAACAACTAAAGATTTACCTCTACATATACTAATGGAGACTAGGGTTATGAAACCCGCATACAAGAAAAACAAAAAAAGAGTGAATCACAAAGCAAGAAGCTGAAGAAATTTAGGGTTTTTCAATTTTCGCCGGATCTCTTGTGTCTTCTACAAGATGAGTTATTTATAGAGGAAGACTTTAGGGTTTTAGTTTATGGGCTCTGAGCTAATTCTTATTGGGTTTTTAAAGGCCCATATATTATGTATGGGCTTTGATTGGACTGAATTCTGTAGATCAATCAATTCGAATATGGGTCTGTAGCTCAAATTCAAAATGGTACAAACAATTAGTAAAACTATACTTTGTAAAACAAGGGTTGCGTCGTGAAGAACAAAGGAGAAGAGGGTTTTCTAAAATTTATTTTCTGATTTCTGATTTTTTGTTTTATGTAAAATATCTTTTTTGGGTAAATAGAAAGACTCTTTTTGAATTAGAAGTTTTGGACTGTAATCAATCATTATAAAATTTAGTAGACCAAATCTTATTAGAAAACGTATAGATAGACATTTTTAATCAAAAAGATTTTTTTCTAATTTTCCCAAAAATCATTAGGCTCCAAATCTTGGCATAATCAATGTGTTGATAAGTCTTTGACTGGTGGCTGCGATGCTAGATGGAAAATGTAAAATAGAAGGGAAAAAAACAGAGGCATTTTGGGTAGTTTAGGTCATAGCCAGCTAAGAGATTAGTATAGGCAATTAATCATGATTGCTCAAATAAATAGAAGGGAGTATATACTTGGATCACAAAAATCCAAAGGCTTACGCACAAATATGGAATAGCTTACAACTTTCGAACCATAGAGTTACCAAAATGTGCCAGAAAATATTTTGGACCTTTTTGTGTTTTTATATAAAATGGAACAAGCGTGATTCTTACCCAAAGTAAAGTCACCAATTTTTTGTAGTCAAGTGGTAAAGCAATTTAGATAGTTTAATAATCGTTGGATCCATTCTGATCTAGTGGTCAAGCACATATATCTGTAGAACAGAAACATGTAGCTTTACCCTATAACTCTAAGTCTCTATTCAAGAAAAAAAAAAAAAAAAACTGATTGTAGGTTTAGACAACACATGTAAATATAAACTCTAATAGTTAGCATTAAAATATATATCTAAAAATATGTCAAAATTTTAAATATATTAGTGAACAAAATATTATTAGTCATCATACTTTTTTTAAAAAAAGTTTTTAAGTACTTCTATGTATTAAAGAACACATTTATGTAAACTTACTAGTAATGAATCTAAAATAAGATCGGACAAAATTTTCGAACCTGACTTAAATTTTTAAACCTAGCCTAAACTTCCAAACCCGAGCCAAAATTCTCGAATTCGACTCCGAACCAAACCGTAAAATAACCGAAATGCCAAATTTACCGATTTTGAACTAAGCCCGGACTATGAAAAACCGAACCAAACTAACCAAAATACATTAAAAGAACTAATATTTAGCTAAATGTATAAAAAATCTATATTTAAATATGTTAAACCTATATAATTTTAGTTAAATAAGTTTATTGTTACTATGTTTTTATAATTTATTTGTCAAAACCCAAATGAAACTGATAATTTTGATTCCAAATGGGATTTATTTTCTAGAACCTGAAAAAAAAACCGAAAAAAAAAATCAAATGAAGTTTTAGTTATTTTTTTCTTTTTCAGCAGTGACACTTCCACTCCTTAGATGATCAATATCATAAATGTTGTCAGTTTGAAAGAGAATAACTGAAAACGCAAATACAAAATTTTCCAAAAATTATGTGTTAAGTAATATGTAGGAAACCCTAAAACCTGATTTGGCTTGAATCCATATTGCAGCTTGTCTGTTGACGTGAAATCTAATCCCCGTGTAACCAATTTTAAATTTAGTTTTATCCTATTTCGTTTGTTTTGCAGTCGTGATATAATTTCCATAACCGTGACTGCTCCATAACAATGTAGAATGGGCGAAATACGCGACCACGCCACCCAGTTAAAACCTAATAAAAGTGAGTTACGTTACCTAAATCTTGATTTGAGACTAAGCAACTTTCATGCTAGGCGGGTTAGATTTCTAAATTTATTTGATCATTCAAGAGCAGATATCTTTTGTATCAGAGTACTTTGTCTAATAACTAAGTGTTTGGGAATAGAAGAAGGGTGTGAACACATGTTCAAAATGATGTCAAAAATGACATAGAGAGTGTTTTGTATAAGTGAAGTTATACATGATTCGTCTAAGTAGCAAGCATAGTTTTCGCTACATTTTGTTATTTCTTAGAATTTTATTTATTAGGTTGGAGGTTTCCACAACTCCGCCGTTGGTTGGATTAGAGTTGACATATTTCGTTTCTAAAGTTATGTGGTGGTGGTACGCTTTTTTGGGTCAAGTTTTTGTCGATATTTCTTTTTCTTATCTTTGTATTTCTTATTTTGGCTTTCAATTGATCGATTTACAACTTTTTATATCTATTGTGACATGCGAAGCGGTTGAGCGACTTTTTCAGTTTATTCTACTCGAATTCAAGACTATAAGTGGTCAAGATTTGATTAGTTTTGTTCTCAATTAAACTTTAGTTGTGTATATCTCGACGTTACCAATGTCGATGATTAATAGATGATTCTCAAACCTTAAAAAGTAAGCCCCATCAAGCCGAAGTAAATAAGCATATATTTCAATTTCAGAATTCTACGAAATGCCAAGCAAAGACATGAAGACCAAACAAATGATGTGAGAGGTTTGTGATTTTCATCAACATCAAAACAATATATAATCTAAGAGAAAAACTAATGAATAAGATTCATATTTAATTGGTAAAAATTGAGTTTAATGGTTTTGATTTATATTTTCTTATTTAAAAAAGAATATCTTGCTTTTTAGGAATGCAATCTCCTACAATTTTAACATTTTTGACCAATTGAGAATTTTTTTTCATTAGCGGATTTAGTTTTACTAATTTTTTTGTACATGAAAAATTTTCATTTTACTTTTTATAGGCCCATGATAATTAATAAATTATGATTTTAATTTAAATTTTTAATTTTTATTTCCACATATTTTTCTGAGTGTATATTCTCTGTATTTCCATTTCGAGTCTGTGGAGTGGTCTCTCCCCTCTCTACCCTAAAACACACTCACCCACTTTCCTCTGTATAAGCCTCTCTCTCCTCTCTCTTCTCTCCTGCCATGAAAATCGCAGTTCCTCAAGACAAAACCTCCTCAGAAATCTCCCATCTCTGATGACTTTTGCTTCCTTAGTTTTCACTTTACTGTCCGAACGCTCTCAAAAACTTTGAGACACCCCAATAAACTATTAAAGATACACACAACAATCAAACCAAACCAAACCCATGGCCGAGAATCTTGCTTGTGGTGAAACCAGCGAGTCATGGATCATTGACAACGACGATGATGATATCAACTATGGCGGCGGATTTACGAACGAGATTGATTATAATCATCAACGTTTCAGTAAAGACGACAACTTTGGCGGCAACGGATCAATTCCGATGATGGGTTCTTCATCGTCCTTGAGTGAAGACAGAATCAGAGAGATGTTGGAGAGAGAGATTGAGTTCTGCCCTGGAACTGATTATGTTAAGAGATTGCTTTCTGGTGATTTGGATTTGTCTGTTAGAAACCAAGCTCTGGATTGGATTTTAAAGGTTTGGGATTTCTTCTTTGATCTGTGTTGTGTGTTTAAAAAATAACTCAAATCTGGTTTGGTCGCTTTTTGTGCTTTTGATTGAGTTAAAGTGTGTTCTGTTCTTTGATCAGTTTGATAGATCATTCATATTGGGGTTTATTAGAGAGGCTTCTGATGTATTTATTATTGGATCTTCTCAATAGATTGAGGTTTTGATCTAAGTTGAGTAATTGAGTTCTTTTGTCTTTAATGCCAATTGTTCCACAGGTTTGTGCTCATTACCATTTTGGAGCTCTGTGCATTTGTCTATCCATGAACTATTTGGATCGGTTCTTAACGTCCTATGAATTGCCGGTAAGTTGCATCGTCTTTGCGGATTGGTTCTCTTTATATTCGAGACAATCGATGACCGTTTTTTGTGTTTTCGTTTGCGTAGAAAGACAAGGATTGGGCTGTCCAGTTGCTAGCTGTCTCTTGCTTATCATTAGCAGCCAAAATGGAAGAAACTGATATGCCTCAAATTGTTGATTTACAGGTGCAACACACATTTAGGCCTTTAATAGCTCAGTTACGAATAATCATAATCGAAAATCGCGGTTTAGTGGAACTAATCTTGAATTGTTGTTCCTAATGGTTTTGATGAGCAGGTGGAAGATCCCAAGTTTGTTTTTGAGGCCAAAACAATAAAAAGGATGGAGCTTTTGGTTCTCAACACATTGAACTGGAGATTGCAAGCTCTAACTCCATTCTCCTTCATTGATTATTTCGTCGACAAGATTAGTGGTCATGTGTCAGAGAATTTGATCTATAGATCGTCGCGATTCATCTTAAACACCACCAAAGGTGCGTCATTTATTGATCGAAAGCAAGCTCTAATAATAGTCTTTCCTTGTTTGCAACTAGCTTAGGAAGGCTTAATGAGTTTCTGTTTATAAAATTGAATGCAGCAATTGAATTCTTAGACTTCAGGCCTTCTGAGATAGCTGCAGCAGCAGCAGTGTCTGTCTCCATTTCAGGAGAAACAGAATGCATTGATGACGAAAAGGCGATGTCTAATCTCCTATA